GTTGAGCACGAAGCTCCTATCTAATGGCAGACGTGCCAGTCTTATATAGAACCTTCGTTCTCCAAATGTCGTTCTACTCGTTTGACGTGCTGCGACAGCTCGCTTGTGCGCGCTGTCGCGCTTCCATCACGTGACTATGAATGCTATGAAATCCTTGGATACTCAACAACCCTGAGTAACCACTGCTATGGTATAACTACTCTGGTTGTATCTGTCCTGTCAGAACGCCGTCTGGACTAACTCGTCGCATGCTAACACGTGATCCGTGACTTAACTCTACTCGAGTTATCGAGTTAGGTTAAATAAGTAGAATAAAGTAATTCCGTTAAATTAAGTAGGGTTATAGATTAGACTAGACTATTTATATAGTATAGAGTAGTTATATATAATATAACTATAATATTAATATAAGAAAGGGTACTTAGCTAGGTATGTCTATATATACGGATCGACGAACCGATGTCTAGCGAGCGAGGTAGCGAGCTAGTAGGTTATATACTAATTCTAATTCTAGTATTAAATTTTAGCTTTGATAGTTCGTTTACCTTGATTACTATTTTAGAAACTCTCTCTCTCTTAAGATGTAAAATATAAAATATAAAATATAAAAATAAGAAGAAGAAGAAGAAGAAGAGCGATCAAGGAAAGGAGAAAGTATAGAACTCAAGAGATTATATACCTATTCCTAACAATATAATAGAAGGTCATATAGTACTTAGGTACTAAGCTATATTATTACATAGTTATTTATATACTTAAAACGCCTTCGTAGAAGTTATAACTAAAATAGATAACTAAAATAGATAAATAAAATAGATAAGTATTTAAATAGAGCTAGCTACCTAGTAATTCTTCTCAGTCCAAATAATCACATATATATCTTTTTTTACTTATCTTATAACCTAGAGTAATAATATCTAAACCCCATCTATTTTTTGAATCCTAATCCTAATCCTAATCCTACTCGATCCCAACTAGGCATAAAAAAAGACACCTACCTACTGAAAGCCTAACATTCCATCACCTATATCTTATCACTATAACTAGTTACCCATCATACTCTCAAGTCCCTAAATACATTCCGCAAAAAGCCCTGATATCCTGAACCCCAAACCCCAAACCCCAAATCTAAAATCCAAAATCCAAAATCCAAATCTAATAACCCCTCCTGTTTTCCAAGAGAAAAAAAAAGCCCAACAAAAGGGAAAGTGAAAACAAAAGGAAAAATAAAAGGGAGTTTATCTTAGGAATAGCTAGAGTAGCATACATCTATTGCGAGCGACCATATGTACGTACAGTTTCTTACAATACAACACACCAGACACACACCACCTACACACCAGACACACACCACCTACACACCAGACACACACCACCTACACACCAGACACACACATAGCACCACATACTACCAAGCAGAAACCAAGCGAAACAACAAAAGAACAAAAGAACACGCCCCCAACCCCAATTTTCTATCCAACGAGTGTATCATCCCAACGGTAAATGGTGTGCAACGCAACGCAATCTTAGCAAAAACAAAAGGAAGAGAAAAACAGAGAATATTCGAATCTTGGGGAATTCGAGTCAAAACAAAAAAAAAGAAGAAGCGAGTAATAACCCATACGCCAGATATGAATGCAAATATATTCCTTTTCATTCCTCCTCCCCCGCCATGTCTACCTTCCTTCCTTCCATTCTATATTTGTTTATTTGTTGGGTGGTCGGTTGGTTTTCTCGTATCCTATCCCCTCCACTTCCTTCCCTACTGGCTCCTTTGGTGTTAATGTTGGCGGGCGGGAAAAAAAGGAGGAACCACAACAAAAAAGGGCGAATCTAACTGCGTTGCGGTCGAATTAAAAATATCAAGGTTTCTGCTGAGCTTCATCTTCCAAAACACAATCCTCAGTCAGCATACATTCTTTTTCTTGGTTTCTCGCTCAAACAACCACATATTCGGATTCGGATCCATATTCACCTTCGCTAGCACCGGGAGTTGGTGGCAGTCCGCCTGGCACGGGTGGGCTATACGCCGTATAAGTATGCTTCTGGGAACTCGTGGGTCGAGGGCCCAGCGGACTCTTGGGCATCTGCAAGTCGGCTGCCGAGGGCACGCGGTTGAATGTGCTGCCGTCTAAGGGGGCGGCTCGACGCGACGACGGACGCGAAGAGGGTGTTGCGGCCGAGTTGGAGCGTGAGATGTTGGGGGAGGTGCCGCCGCCTGCTTGTTTGGCTGCGAGGCGGGCTTCGGTCGCTTTTAGACGCGCCTCGAGGGCTTCGAGCTCCGAGGTTTGGGAGGAGACTACTCGTTTTCTGCGGGTACTGTGAGAGGGTGTAGGTTGGGGTTAGAGGAGGACTGACTTTTCTGATACGGCGGCGTCGAGGTCGGCGATGCTGTTGTCGATTTTGAAGAGGTCGTTCAGGGCGAGGGAGAAGGATTGCGCCATTGCTCTGAGGGGGGGCGATGGTCAGTCATGCGAAGATGATGCCATTGAGGGTATTTTCATTCTGGGATTCTGGATAACCTACGATTGTGGACGAACACTCTTACTTGGCTTCCAGACTCTGTCCATCTCTTCGTCTGACATGGCGGTGTCATTTGTGGTGGACATGATTGTTTGATTTGGAAAGAGGTGTAGGCGGGGAGGGAACTATGAATTTCAAGCTGTGATGTGGTGAAGGGCTATGTGAAGTGGATCGTGGAAGCTTGAGGACGGTGTGTGGGTATATGCTGAGCTGTGAAGAAGGAAGAAGTGCAAGGTTGGGTAGGTAGTAGGAAGTAGGGTAGGGGATGGTAGAATAGAGTAGGGTCGAGTAGGGTAAAGTAGAGTCGAGTATGGAAGAGTAGAGACAAGAAGAAAAGAGAAAGGGAATCCCTCTCTCAAAAGTGTGAATGTCTTTCTGGTACAAGGCTATGGACGGTACTGCGTCCTCAGGAGGTAGGGTTGAAGCGGGTCACCCAGTGGAGTGGTCAGGTTGGGAAATAAGGGGTTAGGTTTGTCAGTCGCTGGTGGCAGAAGGAGAGGGGATGGGGTTCAAGGTTGAGATTAAAGGTACCGCAGTTTCCTCCCTTCAGCCTGGTCTCGGATTTCAGAACAAGTGGAGCGTGATTTGAGAATGCGCTGCAAGGCTGCATCGTGAAGAAGCTATGCAAGTGCAGCGGATGGAGGGTTCAACCTCTTTCGCATGCCCAGCGTCAGAGGTTAAGCAATCTGGCTGCTAAAAAAGGCTCATGGAGGGTTGATGCTGGTGCACATGTTACAGCTAGGGAGTCGGCATGATGAAGGTGGATTGGCGAGCCTGACTGCCGCCGCCGTCACCAGCACAGCACGCCTATCCCGCGTGCCAATCCAGATGCAGTGAGTGTTGGCTAGTCAGGGGTGCCATTTTTATAAGAGATGGAGGTGGAAATGGAAACAGGGGTAATTATTCTTTACCAGAATCTGTGGAAGAACTGTTTGATATCAAGCACTACTTCCAAGCAGTACGAGCGTACAAGTTACCGTAAGTGGTACTGTGGTCTGTAGGTAGTTTCATTTGACACTACGCTAGAAACCGTTTGGTGATACTTGTACTCAAGTAACTTGAGTGAGCTAAGAGCAGAGCCACAGCCCAGTCTTGCACTCATACAGTAGTACGCAGTGTACATGTACAGCTCAGTCTAGTTGTAGCCTCAAACAGTCAGTATGACATGGGTCAACTTGCCTAATCATGTATCAGTACCTGTAGAGAGCTAGTGGTGATAGCTGCGCGTCCTCTTATTGTTACTTGGTACCTATGCAAATACTATCTGATATGATGTATAACATTGTATCTAACGTTTATTTGGTTGAACCACCCTTTTTCTTTGGTAGCTCTCTCTCGCAACCAAGCAAAACTGTAATTAATTGCTTCAAGTTCTCTTCCACTTGGGTATGTATAGCCATGCAATGAATTATTATTATTATTATTATTCCTTTTAACGTGCTGTGTGAGTCTGAGACTATAGTAGCACGGCTGGGGGTTTCCCTCCAACAGATGAGTAAAGGCCATGCAATGAATGCTACCTGAAAAACGATAGTGTACGAGTAATTTGAAATTAAATTCAGCCGAAAAAGAACCAGGTGGATAGTATCATTTTCTCTGGAGATTATTCCCAATAGATTTACTTAGGGTTAAGAAGTGATATCGTAAGAAATATTTTTGACTTGGTGTTCCTGGGAGAACAGCTGTATTGATTATACTCGACTAATAGTGTACAGCACTATCTCACATGCGAATTGGAGAATCGCATTCCATCCTCTTTGATACTGTAGAGATTGTGAAAATTCTATTATGACATAATGGATGAATTGAATCCAGCTTTTTGAAGACAGAATCAAACCAAGATTCTTTCTCAATAAATAAAATCATTTTGCTTATCCTAGATTGCAATGTAAAATTCCGGAGGTATCTTCCGGTTACCTGGTATTGGGATTGGATTGTGATCGTGATTGTGATTGTGATTGTGCTAGGGAGTCGTTTACTTGCCCCCTTTACTTCTTTGAATTAAATCCTATACATTTCTTGACATCTTGTCTTCACCCATTCGGACCGTACATAAGCTGTAGCAAGATGTTTAATTACCATCATAAATCAATGTCTCCCAACGATGCCCATCCGCCCACCTCATTCCCGCACGTGACCCTATCGCGCCTGCCTCTCGCGGGCCTTCAGCACACGAAGCCATCATCCAGGAATCTAATTCCATGAGCGCGACTCTTTCCCATCAACCCCCCACAAAATTTCACGACCCGCCCATCGACACGAATGATTTCTGACGACTTACGATCCTAGATGCTGCATCGCACACCATCCCCATCTTCATCCGTTGCAACCATCTCTAACGGTGTTGGCCACTCGACCTCGTCATCGTGGCTCCTCTTCATCTCGTAGCTCGCGCAGTTGACGGTACCGCTGCCACTGCCGCTGGTGCTGGTGCTGCCAGTTGTCCACCCACAACACACCTAGATCGTTGGCGTGAGGCCTATCGGGGCATGAATACTACAGCGTCCTCCATACTCGCACCACCTAATCCAAATGTAAACCAGCCGCCTGTGTCGTCGCCCTCCCCGTCTTCATACACCCCCCTCGAACAATTATTGCTCTTCCAAGCACTTTTGGAATTTGGCACGCGCGAGGTGGATTTTGTTCGCATCTCGGGTCTCTTAACCAACAACAATCTAGTGATAGGATCAAACACGTACGATGCAAAACGATTGAGCGTGGAGGCGTTGAGTCATCTGTACGTGCGATTATTATACGACGAGATCAGGAGGGAGTGGCAGGAGCAGGAGGTTCAGGAAGATGGCACGCAGTCTGGATCGAAGAAGCGCAAGCTGCCGAATCCATCATTTAAGGATATTCAGCAGTACACCGAAAAACTACCGGTACTCGTGGACAAATTGTACACACGATATCGGGATTGTATGATAGCAGAAATACGAGAGGAAGAACGTAACTATGCTCGGATTCAGAGGGAAATTGCCGAGATCGAGAGAGGAGAATGGGATGAGAGAATATTGAGACAGGAACGTGAAGAGCGAGAGATTGCAATTAGGAATGGAATAATATCAGCTGCACCACCTCAACAAAAGTCGAATGGAACTGCTCCTATATTACCTACGGCTGTACCAGCACCAACAACTCAATCCCAACCAAAACCTAAGCCCTTGGAAATATCAAGACCTCAGGTTGTGATTAGATCCTCTCCTGTTCCCGTGTTGGCTCCAGCGAAAGCATCTCCAAAAATTTCACCTTCTCCTCGAAACGAAGGAAAACCAGAAGGATTGGCAATTACAGATGTATTGAATTCACGTCCCATTTCTCCTGTTCCTCCACCTACGACTCACTCACCAGATACTCGAGTCCAAAATGGAAATCAAGTCGTTCGTCCTCCTGTAGAGAATGCACAACGAACCTCAAATAATGGACAACTTCAATATCCTCAGCAACCACCAACTCCTTTGCAACCCCCACCAGGGCTACAACACCCAGGGGCAAACGTGTGGAAATGGGAGCCACCATTTGGACCAAATCAACAACAGCATCCTCAATATCAATCTCCAAGCCCTCAACAGCAGCAATTCCAATCTCAGCCGCAACCTCAATACCCCCCTCAATTTCATTCCCCATCACAAACCCATCAACAACTTCCGCAATATCCTTTACAGGGCCAACCCCCACACTTCAACACGCCACAGTATCAAGAACGACATCGCCCACCACCATTTTCGGCACAGCATGGCTTGCCTTCTCCTCGTCCTCATGTCCCATCATCTCCCTCTCCTCTAAGTGCCCAACATCCACATGGAATACTTCTCCCTCCTCCAAATGGCATGCGCCAGTCTCCTGGTTCGCCAGCATTACCGCTGGACGCTTTGGCGGACATGGCCGGCCAGCAACATTATCGACCTCAATCCGGGTCACCAATGACTCCACAAATGCAAGGTCCTCCTCCAAATTACCCTATGCAATATCAGCAGCAGCAAAGACCTCATCCACCCCAAAATGGCGGCCCCTCACATGTCCAACCATTTCAAAGTCCTCAATATCAAGTGGCATCTACCCCATATCCTCCCCAATTTCAATCCCCTGATACCAGGGGACAATACTCTAATCCGGCAGGTTTTGCACCTCCAAATACTGGTCCATACAACTCTCCCTATAACGCCAGCCAAGGACCAAAGCCCATGGCTCCCATCGTCCTTCAAAACTCCGCACCAAAACCTCGTCCTATGCTACCAAACACCCCAGCATCTCAAGGTGTGCGGCAGTTCAAGACTGGAAGTGGTACTAAATGGACTCCAACTCCGACATCGTCCACTCCAAGACCTAACAAGATTGTTCTGCCTCCTACCGTGGAGCCATTGAGTCCTGTGTTGGCCCCAGCAAAACCACCTCTAGTCGTAGCCCCCATAGCGAAAAAGCCACCACTGAAGAAAGAACTCAACAAGTCAGAATCCTTGAAAATTACCAAGATACCTAAAACGGCTGCTCAACGAAAGAGAGCGGGCAGCACAGCTTCATCGGTCGTCGCAAGCTCTCAAAGGAGTCCATCAGTTGCAACGATTGCGTCGCGTGGGGATGATTTGCAGCATGTCAAGGAAGAAGTTGCTACTCCTGTTGGTGGCGTTGGTGATGTGGACGAAGCAGACGAGTCATCATTCACACATCCCCAATCTACGCCAGTCATATCACAGGGTCAAATTGGCAAGCGCAAGCGTGATGTCAGTAATATTTTTGAATCGCGTACTCCCTCTACACCACCTACTCATGTTCTCTGGACTCGAGGTTTCCCAAAGATATCTGCATCGGCTCTTGAGTCGGTCTCTGGTCACAGAAATGCTAGCACATTTGCAGCACCTGTCAAGGAAAAGGACGCTCCTGGTTATTCTAGTAGGGTCCTTCGACCACAGGATTTGAAAAGTATCCGTTCCGCTATCAATGCCGGACACAGAGCAGCGACTGCGGCCGCACCAGCCGATATGAATAGCTCCGCCGTCAACGTATGGCTTCCCATCTCCGAAGAACTCGTCCCACCAAAAGGAATTATTAACAATGCTCAACTTGAAAAGGAACTGATGCGTATGTTTGCAAACGCCATCATGTACAATCCCGATCCCGATGCGGGCTTTGGTAGAAGACTCCAAGATAAAGGAAAGCCGGCACCAGCAGGCGATGTCCTCGGCTACGAGATTGACGTCGATGGTGTGGTGAAAGATACCCGGTCCATGTTTGCGGATGTGGAGAAGATCATTAGTAATATGCGCAGTGCCGAGAGACGAAGTGAGGAGTTGAGAGAGGCTAGTCTTGCGGCGACGGGTGGGGCAGGTGGGAACGCGGATGAGGATGATGAGGAAGGGGATGGAGATGCGAGTTCCGTTACGGGGAGCGTGGCGAAGAGACGACGGAAGGGTTAGTTCAATCTTTACTCTGCTTGGCTTGTTAGCTAGCTAGCTGGAGACACGGTTAGGTGGTTGGATGGTTGGATGGTGGGTGGGTGGGAACTTGTGTTTGTTGATTCAGAGCTGAATGGACTGAATGAAATAGAAGGTGTTTTTGTAGGTAGTGTAGTTGTGTGTTTGGTGTGTATATAATTTAAATGACATTCTTTTTTCCAGCAATTCCCTGATCTGGTTCCTTTTCGTTGGTCTTTTTGAGGGAAAGGGATGGAGGGG